ACCTGGGGCACCGAACCTGCGGGCGGGGGACGGAGGCTCTGACGTCTGGGCGGCCACCTGAGCCCGGCCAGCCTTGGCGCCTCTGTGCTGGGCGACAGCGGTGACGCGGAACCCGTCCGCCCTGCTCTCGTAAGCCTGGGCAGGCAGCAGCCAAACTGCAACACTTGAGGACGGTTCGCGTCGTGAAATATTCATGGAGTGGAGCTCAATGGTCTGTGCTGGAAATACAGATATGTTCAGGATAGATTGGTGTCATCAGGAGTAGAAAACCGAGTTAGGGAGAATGGGTCCCTGAAGAGGTGACACTGAATGGGACTGGAAATCCTTTCCTACCTTCTCCAAACTTAGATAAAACTTTTTTAGTGATTCTCACCCCCTTTACGTGGCAGAGATGTGTGAAAGCTGGATCAAAATCGCAAATGCACAAACCTCAGAACTAGCACAGTTTGAGGGGGTTGGGGGGTCATCACTGTATCCTTGGACCCTAATTTAAGTTAGTGCTGGCTTCATTGTAGAAGAGTGACAGGCAGAAAGAACTACACCCATCTAGCTATATATGTGTATGAAATGGAAATATTTGAAAAAAAAACTTTAGCTTCAAGCACTGCCTAGCATGTGGTAGGTATTAAATATTGAATAAGTTATCAGAAGAATTTACATAGTTTAAAATTGGACCTCAAGAGCTACAGACTTGGATTAATACATACTTCACAGTTCCTGGCACTTTCCTATTGTTCTATGTAAGGCGCTTCCTCGTTAATTTAAAATGGAACCCCAAAATTCGACGGGGTTACACACCTAGGACCCCTGCAAATTGTGAAAAACCGCGAAGTTCAGATATGGTGAAAATATGCCTACAAATGCCTATTTTTATACTTTAAACCTTACAAATGCTGTGTCTTCCGCAAATATATAATTTAATTTAATAAAATATGGTATTAATGAAGCCTAAGAAGGGGCAGGGCATTTTTGGTGGAATCTTCAGGGTCTTAAGGCTTTAAGAAGAAGAAAACTGAGTACACTCCAGATAGCTACAGGTGGTAGGTATAGCAACCTGTGATGATGCAGGAATGCCCGGGCATCTGCCCAGATGGGTTACAGATCAGTAGCCAGTCGGCAGCATGGAGAACTGAATAACATTCTCAGATTGGCTACTTGCAAACCTCCTGCTACTGCTATTTGCAGTGTCAGTGAAAGTGCAGGAGTTCCTGCAAACAATTATCATTTAGATTCTAGGGAAAAATCCACCAATGACTGAGGCCGCAAACTCTGAACTATGACTTCTCAGGATTTTGCTGTATGTTTTCTAATTTTATTTTTTTAAAACAAATACCTTGAGTTATTCTTTGTGTGTGTGTACGCGCGTGGTTTTTTGAGACAGGGTCTCACTATGTAGTTGTGTGAGATCCTGTCCCAAAAATCCAAAAAATAAAAATTAAGTAAAACAAATACCTTGAGACTACTATTCAAAAAAATTTTTTGACTGCACATTGAAGAAATAAAAAGCAACTACAGGGCCAGGGATTTAGTTTAGTGGTTCCTCCGCCTGCCTCGCAAGCGAAAAGTCCCGAGTTCCATCCCCGGAGGCAAAACAAAAACAAAACACGAAAAATAAACCTACTCGGGGATACGATTATTGAAAAAGATAGCAGGAAGATGACAGATAAATGATGTTTAAAAAGGAATATAAGCTACCTACTGGGCTGCATGCAGGGGAATTTAAGAAGTACTAGACAAACATGGAGATGCGAATAGTACAATTTGGGAAGAGTTTTTTGGGTATTGGAGAAGAATACCAAAGACTATGCAGGTTAAGAAGAGGTGATGCTAATACTAAGCTAGCATTGTGATAAAATGAAAATGGTAATAGATAGCTAAATGCCCAAGAAAAATAGTTCTTAAAAAGATGTACTATATTTGGGAATTGTAGTACACATCGGTAATCCCAGTACTCCAAGGCTGAAGAAGGAGGATTTCCTTGATTTCAAGGCCTGCCTACGCTACCTGGTTAGTTCAAGGCCAGCCTGGATTACATAGGGAAACCCTGTCTCAAGAAAACATAAATAGGATGAAATATTACACAATTTTATAAGCACTAACAGAATTATGTTAGTATGGCTTAGGCTTATTAAATTTCAAATGTGATTATAACAGTGATGTAGAAGGTAATACTGTTAGAATGATGGAATTGAGTGGATGATATAAATTATAATCATGCCTGTATAATGATGTTTTAATGACAGACCACAGGTATAACATCATGTCATGTGTGTACCAAATGTTGGTAGACAGTACCTGAGTACAGTTCACATTTATCATTGACTTTCAATGTTTAGATACATTTAGGCACAGAAATACCGTTGTGCTAAAATTGCCTAGAGCTGTGATGGTGAACCTTTTTAGAGACTGAGTGCCCAAACTGCAATCCAAAACTCACTTATATCTTGCTGTAGTTAACCTTGAATACTGAGGTTTTAGTTTAGAAAAAACAACTGTTATCCGATTCGGCTGCTTGGGCGACTTGATCTCATGCCAACAGAGAGGATGCTGCGGCACCGTGCTATAGGTCCTGACACCCCTGGCCTCGAGTGTTCAGTACAGAAACATGCCTTGCAGATTTGTAGCCCAGGAGCAGTAGGCTGTACCATGTAGCCTAGCTGTGCTGTAGGCTGTACTGTCTTGGTTGGTGTGATTCTGCTCTGATGTTGCTCAGTGACTAAATCACCTATCATTTTTCTTAGAACATATCCCCTTAAGTGATACAGTATATAATTAACATAACAGCGGAGCAGGTTTGCAGAAATGTCTTGCCTAAAATTCAGCTAAAATAAAAAATGAGCTGGGTGTGATAGCTCATACCTGTAGTCTTAGCCCTTGGGAGGCTGAGGCAGGGGGATCACAGTGAGTTGGAGGCCAGCCTGGGCTACCTAATGAGTTCAAGGCCAGCCTGAACTAGAGAGAGAGAGACCCTGCCTCAATAAATAAGTAAATAAATTTAAATTAAATTAAAGCTGGGGGAAAAGTAAATGCTGCCATAAAATGATGCAGTGGTTTATTTCAGTATCAAATTTGAGATAATTTCCTTTAATATGTAAAAATATATTATATTAACTTCATTTTTTTTTTCTTTTTTTGGTACTGGGGATTGAACTCTGGAGCAGGTGCTGTGCCACTGAGCTAAATCCCCAGCCCTGCTATTAACTTCTTACTTTTTTTGTTTGCTTATTTTGATCCTTTCTTATATTGCTATGGGCATTGTTTCAAAACAAATACACAAACATCTCTCTCTCTCTCTCTCTCTCTCTCTCTCTCTCTCGTATTCAGAAAGAATGTTACTGAGTGTTTTAATTTTCCTTTTATTTGCAGATGTGGATTTGCTGGAGAAACAGGTCCACGATGTATAATTCCTAGTGTGATAAAAAAAGCTGGACTGCCTAAGGTATTTTCTTTAACAAATTAGCAAAATGAATGGCTATTTTGACTTTTGCTTTCTGTTTGTTTGTGGTACTGGGGCTCAAACCTAGGACTTCTAATACTAGGTGAGTGCTGTGCCACTGAGCTACACTCCCAGCCCCTAAAATATTTAAAACTGCAAACCTCAAGTAAGACTGATAAAAGCAGTACTGATTACATGACTTGTAGGTACATTCCTATGATAGGGTTTTTAAAATCAAGTTTATCAAGGTCTAATTTTGTACACCATAAAGTGATCGTGTTGTACAATTGTCCCCACAATCTATTATTCATGTTTTCATCAGCCCAGAAAGTTTTCTGATGCCTCTTTATTGTATTTATTTATTTACTTACTTTTTGGGTACCAGGGATCGAACTCAGATCCTTGTGCTTGCGAGGCAGGCGGTGGCACCACTGAGCTAAATCCCCGGCCCTGATGTCTCTTCATAATTAATTCCATTCCCACTCCTAGTGTACTGATAATGTGATTTTTCTGTTGATTGGTCTCTTCTGTACATTTTATTTAAATGTCATGTAATGCCAAGAGAAAGTTTTGACCTTAGTGGAATACTTTTATAAGCACTGTATAATAGTTACTGAACAATATTACTATTACCTCATTCAAAGACTTTAGGGCCTTTTCTGTACTTCGGAAACCCAAAGAATTTCAGAAGGGAAAAGTTTGTTGAGGTCATGACTTCCAAAGCTAATTTGGCAGGTTAGGAATTGTAGACTAATAGAATAGTTCTGTATACCATAAAATTCACGTAATGCTGTGTACCTAAAATAAACCTGTGTTTCACAAAGTTTTATACTTTTAACAAAACGAGCTTGGGAAAATGAGGTTGGGGTAGACTATATGCAAAATCTGTGTGACTTCATAAACAACACTAGTAAAAAAAATAATTTAACTTGTGGGAAATTTTGAATAGCTGTGCCTGGCAGCTGTGTATGGCTGGAGGCTACCTCAGGAGATATTAAAACAAAATAAAGTAATGGATGGCTAGAAGGTGCCCAGACAGTGTAGATAGAGGCAAGTCTGAGCTCATGGGTCTGTTGTTATGTTGGAACTGAAAGATAGCCCAGTAGTATGAAGGAGTCCATTCTGGAAAGAAGGCCCCCGCTCAAGGGACTATTTAACTCTTCTTTTTTGGTTCTGGGGATTAAACTCCGGACCTTGCGCTTGTGAGGCAGGTGGCGGCACCACTGAGCTAAATCCCCAGCCCTCCTGTTTAACTCTTCTTAAGTAGATCTGAAATGATAAGTATTATATCTGTATGACTATTGAGTCAGTGCTCTTTTTTTGTTGAGACAGAGTCTTACCTTGTAGTTCAGGTGAGTCTTGAACTCACTGTGTGGCCCAGACTGGCCTGGAACTCACAGGTATCCTTCTGCCTCAGCCTCCCAAGTGTTGGGATTACAGGTGTGTGCCACCATGCATGCCTCGATTAATGACTTATTCTTTTTTTTTTTTTTTGGTACTGGGAATTGAACTCAGGACCTTAAACTTGTGAGGCAGGTGGCCACACCACGGAGCTAAATCCCTGGCCCACTCAATGACTTACTCTTAACAAAGGTTATAATTCTATCATAATTTTAGCTTCTCTTGCCTAGTATAGATTTAAACTTTAACATTATACACACTATCCCCTTACTCAGCAATCTCATAGAGCATTTTTTATTTTATAAAAACACATGTTGTAACAGAATAGACTAGTATATCAATTTATATTTGGCATTGTAATGCATCAGAAATGTTTTAATTCTACTTGATTATGGGATCATTTTATCGATTTCAAATTTTTCTGCAAATCCGTGGACAAACTAGAAACATCAGATATTTATAGGATGATGCTGAAAATGTTCAAAAAAATGAATTTTTTGGCATTATAACCGGTATTATGGTGTTACTAGATTCTCGACAAGGCTGAGAGCTTTGTGTTCTTAGTGCGTTGGGTTGTTATTGTTTTGAAAAGACAGATATGTATTTTTTTTTCAGCTCTACATGGTTTGAAACCTCTAAGTCACATAAAATCAGCCATGCTGATGGTCTTTCCTTTAAAAAAATAAATGCAGTTGAGAGGAGAGATCCATGCCTGTAATCCCAGCTACTTGGTGGGCTAAGGCAGGGAGATCCTAAATTCGAGACCAGATTAGGCAATTTAGCAAGACCCTGTCTCAGAAGATTTTAGGGGACTGAAGATGAGGGATGGAGATGTAGCTCAATGGTAGAGCACTTAGCTGGCAGGCGCAGGGCCCTGGGTTCAATCTCTAATACCACACACACACAAAATAGAGATGAAGAGCCACTGCAGATGACGTAGCCGCCCCTGTGGAGCTTTCCGAGGAGCGACCCTTCCCAGGTGCTAGCATCAGAACCACGCAGTGGCTCGGCATTGCTTGTGTGTGTTGGGTTGGCGCCAAGGGTGTCTGTTCCCATTTGTACTGCACGTTTATGAGTGGCCCACTGTGCCTTGCTCCGTGCAGCTTAAAGTCCAGCAGGAAGGGAGGTAATTCACAAGGCAAGAGTGGTGACATCAGAATGGGTGGCACTTGTGCTTTGAGAGTGGCTCCCAAAACGGAGCCTGTCTGGTATATTGAAGAGGGCTTCAGTGCTTTTTAACAAGTGCTAATGTTTATCTTGTTATGTCCAGATGATAAGCCAGATAGATGAAAACTGCTTGTGAGCACAGCTCCTTACTTACAGACATGCACTTCTGCATTAATAAAATACATAAATTTCAATTTTGAGATGATATAAATTAATCATTTTCATTTTTTGTAGCCTATCAAGGTTGTTCAGTATAATATCAATACAGAAGAGTTATATTCTTATCTAAAGGAATTCATCCACATACTATATTTCAGGTAAGATGCAGTTCTGTTTGTTTGGGGTTTCGTTCTAGCTTTTGTAAGTAGAATTTCCTAATGGCAGTCATATTGATTGTCAGATTACAAATGATGTGGGGAAAAATGGACTTGCACTGCCATTTTTACTTGCTTATTTTGAAACTTTTCAAAAATATATTTGAAGACTAGAAAAATGGCAAGCATAATAAAATAATGAAAAAAAAATCGAATGTTCATAAGGTAATTAGGGCTGGGAATCTAGCTCAGTGGTTCCTCTGCCTTGCAAGTGCAAGGATCCGAGTTCGATCCCAGTGCCCCCCCCAAAAAAGAAGAAGAAATGGGGAAAATATCTGGCTAGAATAAATTTAAAGGGGGGGATTGGTAAATAAACTATTTACATGTATTGAGGGAATCATGCAGCCATGGAGAAGGATCGCTGGGCTCATTGGTGGAACACCTGGGCAAGGCCTTGCATTGACTCCAGCGCCAAAAAGTTAAATTCTAAAAAAGAGTTCTGGGGCCGGGGATTTAGCTCAATGGTGCTGCTGCCTGCCTCACAAATGCAAGGATCCGAGTTTAATCCTGGTACCAAAAAAAAAAAAATCAAATACAAAAAAGAGTTCTGTATCTAAATGTAGGGATCCAGAAAAATGTCTTAAGAATACTTAAAAATGGTAAAGCACATGTATGTAGTATTTCTTTTCAAATATATACATGTACATCCATAAGAGGGAAAACTTCCAGCTGCTGTGAGTAGTCACTCCTGGGCAGGAGACCTATTAAGGACCTCATACTTCACAAGTCATTTACCACTATACCATTAGGAGTTTTCTGAGTATATATCATTTTTGTAACCCCACAAAAGAAAATAATCTTTTAATGTCTAAAGTTGTATTCCTAATGGCTGCAGTTTTAGTTTTCTGTGTTAAATAAGTTCATAAAGTTCCTGGCATCGTGCATAGCACATGGGAAGAGTTCGGGAGTATAATCTTTCCAGGAGAGGAAAATGAAACATCTTAAACTGGGGCAATGCAATTTCTGTGTTCTTAAATTGTATGATTGACCAAAGCAAGTACAAACTTTTAGTAACTGTTAAAAACAAAACTCTTTTCCAGGCATCTGTTGGTGAACCCCCGAGACCGGCGAGTTGTGGTGATTGAGTCAGTTTTATGCCCTTCACACTTCAGAGAGACTCTCACTCGAGTTCTTTTCAAATATTTTGAGGTACCTATTTTCAAATCCAGTGAATAATGTATTTTTAAAGTAGAAAGAAGGCTAAAGGTGTAGCTCAATGAGTACTAGGGCACTTACCTAGCATGTACAGATCCCTGCGTTCACTACACACAAAAGAAAATCAATAGAAGTTTTACAAATTAATTCTGAGGGAATCTCCCTGCCCCTCTCTTTCGAGAAAGTGGTAGGTATCCAAAATTTAAATTTAAAAGTCCAGATTTTATTTTCTTCATTATATGTCTGCCAGTACATTTGAGGAATCAGTGACAGAAGCCTCTTCAACCTGGTCATTTATTTTCTTCCTGTGTTTATTTCCTAGATAAGCATTTTGTTTCTGTTACTGATTTTAATGTAGACTTTTGTTTGGAAAGTTTTTTCTACAGTCAAAAGGTGCAATCAGAGCTCTGGACTTCAAATCCCTTTGAAATGAAATATTTAAGCATTGTCTCCTTCGAGTAAGTGAGCATCCCCAGGAATGAGATGTAGCTTGATTTTAGTCATGTTACTTACAGTTTCATTGTATAGGAGTTGGGTTGTTTTTTGTTTTGTTTTGTTTTTTGTTTTTTTTTTGGTGCCGGGGATTGAACAAAGTCAAGACTATTTTAAGACCAAGAATATGGTATAAAATTATTACATTTCATAGCAGACCCAAATCTATAAACTTTTTTTTTAAGAGCAGGAGAATTGATTGGGGAATAGGAATCCTGCTCAGAGTCAGGAGTGTCCCAAATGGGTTTCCAATGAGCCCACTTCTCTGAGAAGATTTTATAGAGCACGGTCATGAGGTGGGTACAACATGGGTCAAAACTGTATTCAGTAAGATTCCAAGTATAGCCGCTTGGCTAATATTGGCCCAGTAGTAGCAAGGGCATGTGGATAACTTCATTAACCTTGACCTGTAGCCTTGTCTTAGTGGGTGGGAGGGAATGGCCCACCCCTAATGAGATAGTGGCTATTTTATAGAGGAAATCTCAAAAGAATGGTACCAGTAATCTCAAGCTTCCTTTTATCCCTTAGGTAATAATATCTGGTCATTCTGATTTTAATCTTCTTCAGATGCGCCTCTAGCCACAGTTGCATGTGCTCTCATCTTCTGCATCAACTCCCTCAAGGGCCTGTCCCCATCTGACTGGCTGTAATTTTTCTACCTAACTTAGCTATCTATATTTTTCCCCCTGAAGAGGTACCCCTACCTGAGGTTAGGGGAGAAAGACTGTAGTTTCGTCTACCTGCTTCAAGCTGAGAAGGGTCAGTGCGGGGGGACTGCAGTCAGGGGCCTTCTCCAGAGAGCTAATCAAACAGGCCTTGAATAGAAGCCATGTTGCAGTCTAGCAGTTCCGAACTCCCTTGACAAGGTCGATCTAGTGGATCCTGGTAAAAGGAGCCTGGCACGCTTGTCATTGGTCCCATCTGCTTGATCACCTGGAGTTTAGCAGCCTCTAGGCAAGAATAAACAAATTTCCAAGAAATTAAAGCACATATGATCAAAACACTAGCAAACAGAATGGGAAGGCAGCTTGGAGAAGAAGCCACATCAGACACTATTTTGTTTTGTTTTTGTTTTTGTTTTTTTCAGTACTGGGAATCGAGCTCAGGACCGGCACTTTCAAGGCAGGCAGGGTGCCACTGAGCTAAATCCCTGGTCCAAGATACTTTTTTAAGGGTTGGAATAGCAGTTGTAACTAAATGACCCTTAGAACTGTCAGTAGGGGTAAATGATTTTTATATCTACCTGTATTACTATGGGTTTTTTAATGTATCTTGATTATATTTTTGTGCTGGGTGTTTAAGGCCTGATTAAAGAGAGACTTGTGTTAGAGTTAACCTCTTGCTGCCCATCAAGTTCAGTTAAGTCTCTTGAGGCATTACTTATGGAACCATGCATAGAGCCTCTCAGCTCCTCTCTACTGTCAGCCACCAGGATGGGTCAGACCATGTTGCCTTCTATGAAAGCATGGGTGACTTTTCCCTGTTGGTGACCCTCTTTTCTGGCACAGTGCACATTTGTTGATTTCTGTCCTCTGGAGTCCCGCAATCTTTCTTCTCAGGAAGTTGGATGTCTCACCAAAATTGTGGGATCCTGTAGAAAAGCTTCCCTCAAGCCCTGGATCCTCATTGACCTTGGAGGCCCAGGGCCAAAGTATTGGCTGTCCTCTTAGCCCAGTTACCTTTCAAGTTCTGATCTCCAAACTTCAGTTGTTGAATACTCAGAAGAGAAGATCAGTGATATCAGTATTGCAGTTAACTATTATAATCTCATCTGGATATCAAGCACTTTGAAATACAAAGGAAAGGGCTAGGGATTTAGCTCAGTGGCACCATGCCTGCCTTGCAAGTGAGTTCAATCCCTGGGACAAAAATATATATATATAAATAAACCAATAATAGTAATAATAATAATAATAAAGTGTATCTGGCCAAGTTGAGTTACAATAACCCTTTTACAGTTTTTAGGTTTGTATGTATAAGTAGACTAGACAACTTTTTATATGTCAATTATAAGAAATCTCTTGTAATAAGAATCAGAAGAAATAAAAACTTTTATACTTGTCAAGGCAAAGATAGTTTTTAAGCTGGGACCTAGGCTGATGGTTTATCTGATTGGAATACCGAGCTCTATTATAGGCTCTTTATTGTTGTCAATTCTTTGAAAGAGAGTGAAAAAAAAGTTAAAGGGAAAATTAGATTCATAATCTACTCTAAAGATTTGTCTCTATATCTGAAACATACTTATGAATTTTTTTTTTTTTTTTTTTTTTTTTTTTTTGGTACCAGAGATTGAACTTGGGTCCTTGTGCTTGAGAGGCAGGTGGCAGAACCACTGAGCTAAATCCCCGGTCCACTTATGAAAATTCTGATGTCTCATTTGACTCAGATGACTTCCCTGTCTTTAGCATTAACAAAACACTCATTTTCTATGAGCCCAACTTGAAAGTTCTTAATTGTTGGATAGAAGGGAAAGGCTAAGACTAAAACCTTTTCGGAGTCTCTGTCTTTCTGTCTGATCTTTAGAAGAAACATGCCTCCAAAAAGGGGGGAAAGCACAAAGTGACAGAAAAAGATCAGAAATGAGATCAGAGCAAAAAGTCTCTTAGGCTCAAGGTGAGTTACTGAGACAGTTTCCCCCTGAGTCGTCATTCTCAGCCTGGAAAGCCAAGAATGGGGAATCTTAAGAGCTAGGATTGCCTCCTTACCAGCGGAAGATCAGAACAGAAAGACTCAGCATTCCCCTCTGAGAGCGCGGAGTGGGGCTCAGGCCAGACTGTCTCAGTGAATCCTGTCCTTCCCGACTTTCTAAGGGGCATTTATATTTCAAAAACTAGGTTTTATCCAAAAAGAATCCATCTTTCAGCATGTTACCAGTACGCATTTTGGTTAGTAGCAGAGTCCATGAGGGCCGCTGTAGTATTACTTTTCACTGGTGCCTCTTGTCTGAGATAAGATGGTAACTATAGCAGTTCAACTAGTCAAACCAGTCAAGCAAAGAGCACCAGTAAATTCAGCAACTAGTTGAGTCCATGCTCAAACCACACAAGACCCTGCCAGTAAAAATACAATATCCCATCAAGAAACATCATACTCTTCCCATGATCTCAACTTAAATTCCCCATTTGACAAAAAAGGCATAAAAAGACAAGGCACAAGCAACTGGCAATTGAGAATGACAATTTCTTCTTTTTTTTAATCTTATTGGTACATTTAATGTATACAGTATAATGACATTCATTGTTGGAAATTCGTACCTTTACATCCTCAATCTTGATTCTTATTTTTTCCGCATTCCCCTGCTCTCCCTTCAACCTTCCCTCCCTCCCTATCTACAAAGACTGTTTCCATTCTTTTTCATGTTCTCGTATTAATTCCATAAGAATGACAATTTCAGGGCCGGGGATTTACCTCAGTGGTTCGGTGGTCTGCCTTGCAAGCGCAAGGACCCAAGTTCAATCCCCAGTACCAAAAAAAAAAAGAAAAAAAAGACAGTTTCTGATGGGAAGAAAATGTTCAAATGGGAAGGATAACTAGGGAAGAGGAAGGGACAAGAAAAAAGGGAAAATAGAAGGAAAAAAATGGAAACAAAGCATAGGGAGGTGAGGGAGCTTGAGGGGGCAATGAGATAAAATAAAATTTATTTTTAAAAAAAGAATGACAATTTCTCAGCCGAGTGTGGTGGCACATGCCTGTCATCCCAGCACTTGGGAGGCTGAGGCAGGAGAATCGCTCTGAGTTTCACGCCAGCCTGGGCTACATAATGAGTTCCAGGTCAGTCTCAACTACATAGGGAGACCCTGCCTCAAAAAACCAAAAAATATCAAGACTTGTCATGTAGAGGTACAAGATCCCAACAATGAATGTAACTGTACTGTATCCCTAAAATGTACCAATAAACTCAATTAAAGCTGGAAAAAAAATAAATAAATAAAAATTTAAAAAATAAAGAAAGAATGACAATTTCTGATTTAAGTGAGTCACAATCCAGAATCCATGAAACACAAGAAGACCCCAAATGATACAGAGGAAAAATATGTAACTCACCCAGCCTGCTAGATGTCAAATACGCTAGGTTTGTGTCCCTGGATTTGAAGCATGAATTCTAATGAGCAGTGGAGGTTAAGAGTAGGAAAATTTATTGGGGAATAGGAATGGCTCCTGAGAGACAGGAGGGGTCCTTACAGGGTTGCACCCAAATCTATAAACTTTTAAAGAATCTCTGCTTTGACGTTGAGGCTGAGGGAAAATGACATTTTCAGCAAGAGAAAATAGAAGATTCTACAAAATTTGTACAGCATATAAGAAATTAACACATGTAAATTATTTCCATACATTTCGCTGAACTCAAAATACACCTAATACAGAGCAAAGAGTGGATGCACACACCAGTAATCCCAGCTGAGGAAGGAGGAATGTAAGTTCAAGGCCCATCTGGGCCACAGAGTGAGGTCCTCTCTCAAAAACATTTGTTTACAGCCAGGGATTTAGCTCAGTGGTTCCACCACCTGCCTCGTAAGTGCAAGATCCTGAATTCAATCCCTGGTACCAAAGAAATATTTTTTTTCATCATCCTCATGCCAGAAATTATTATGTCTTCATGTGGTAAGGAAAGTTAACAGTTCTAAGCTTCATTTTTATAAGAAAAGTCCAAAAAACCAGGTTGTGTAGCCTCTTGTATTTGCTGATAATCATAGATTCAGGACTTTGATTTACAGTAGGGATGGCACAAAACTAAATCATATCAGCTCCTATCAGAATAAGGAAAATTATCCACATTTGCACTTCAGAGTTTACTTATGTTTGTGCTACTGCCTTGTCCTGTATACGGCTAGGCCTGCCATATCTCCTTAGAGATACAGAGAGAGAGATATAGAGATGTTATTTTGTCTGCCTTCTGATTATGGTGACTGTCCCTATTTTGATTGAATATCTAGTTTTGAGATGTCACCAGGTCTGGCAAATTTTCACTGGGAAAAATTTTATAATTTTGTTCCATTTATTTTAACTGCTATGTTGGAATGTTTCACAAATACAGCTCATGTTTCAAACTTTGCAAGTAAAGGCAATCAATAATTTTTTTTAATTTTCATCGGGATGTAAAGGCATCTTGTTTTTAACATCATCTCCCTCTTAATTTGTTTCTGAACTTCCTGTTTTATTCCATTCAGTTTTCCACTCCAAAAGAGATAGAATGAACATTAATATGAATGCTCCAGGGGGAAAAAAAGAATGCTTCAGAATTGTCATTTTGGAGAGAAACAGCTTGGCTTAAGTCATTTTTATTTATTACAGTATACTTGGAGTAAGTTTATATAAACAAATTTGTTTTTAATTTAACTATTAAATGGTTGAATAGATGTTATAATATAAATTCAGTAGCCCTATGCATTTTTCATGTACTCATGAATATAAGGCAAGCACCTTCAAATAGGGATATTCCATTTAATTTCATTGTTGTTTTTTAGGTTCCATCTGTCTTGCTAGCTCCAAGTCACCTCATGGCTCTTCTGACGCTTGGAATTAACTCTGCCATGGTCCTGGATTGTGGATATAGGGAAAGCCTGGTGTTGCCTGTATCCTTTTTTCTCTATTTTTTTTTTTTTTGTCAACCAATTCTGTAGTTTTTATTCTAATTTAAAATAATATTAAGAATAATTTTTATTGTATTGAAGTATTCGGGGTTACCGTGAACAAATATGAGTCACCGTGTGCTAACAGTTCATAGGATTATAAGACTTCAATTTACTTTTTGTAGAAATTACTATTAGGAAAGCCGGGCATGGTGGTACACACCTGTAATCCCAGCACTCGGGAGGCTGAGGCAGGAGGATCAGTGTGAGTTCGAGACCAGTCTGGGCTACATGGTGAGTTCCAGGTCAGTCTCAACTACATAGTGAGACCCGGTCTCAAAAAACCAAAAAAAAAAGAAATTACTGTTAGGACTTGGTTGCAGTGGACATTTCAGGAGTGGATCTCATCAATATAAGATTTGGTTTTCAAGAAAACTACCAGCTAGTTAGACTACTTCAAAAAAGTTGACTGGAATAGTTACATTCTAAGAAAAAAAAACAAAACATAAGAATTGAAGAAATGAAATGAGAAGATTGAATTAAGAAAAATCAAAGCTTAATAGCTGTGTGAAATCTACTTTCAAATAGTTGAAAACTGGGCCGGGAATTTAGCTCAGTGGTTCCACCACCTGCCTTGTAAGCACAAGGACCTGAGTTCAATCCCCGGTATGAAAAAAGACAAATAGCTGAGAACTTTGCTGGAAAAGGAGAATATATTATTTTTCTCTACCTCCAAAGACTGCCGCAGAAACAATGCACCATAGAGTTTATGAGTTTAAGGTTTGGAGTCAAACACACAGTGAGGACCAGTACGTCTTGGTCTTAGGCTCGCATGGTGTTGGTGAAGTAGCTTCACCTCTCTGGCCTCAGTTTCCACAGGTGCGGTTGCAGTGACAGTGTCCACCCCAGAGAGCCGTGAGTGTAGAGTGCGGTGATGTGTGCGAGGCACTCAGCATAGGACCTGCTGCACCACAATGTACTCGGGCCGTGCTGTAGGCTGTGTAGTGTTCACTGGGGCCGCTCACTACGTACGGCACACGCGTTATTTGTTTTGAAGACAAAAGATGTTAATGTAGGAGCTGTTTTTTCTGAACTAAAACCTCAGTATTGAGGTTGAGTTGCAGTGTTGATACTGTGATAAATAAGCGGGTTTTGGGTCACAGTTTGGTTACTCATCTAAGAGGTTCACCCTCCCTGGCCTAGGGGAAAATTCACTGATAATACCAGCTGTTCCAGAATGGAATTAATGACAGGATAATTTGGTCCATTACTTTTCATTATAAACGTTCAAGCAGAGTGTAGATAAATATTTTTTAGAATTGTCATTGTGAACATTGTTTCATTGAAAAGGAGGTTGAAATATATAAACGTAAGACAGTTTTGAAATCTGCGTGAATATTTAATAAAAGAAATATTCATGAGAAAGAAAGTCATTTACTCCTAAGGAACTAAACTAGGCAGTATTTTAAATATAAAGTCTTTCATATTAATTCTCAAAATAAGTATCACTTATAAATGAGAAAACAAAATTGGGATAGGTAACTACACTAAAATCATATAAGCATACAGCTATGATACAGAGCCATGTTTGTGTTTAAACCAGCAGTCTTACTAGAATACTTTGTTTTCCTTCTTTTTTAATTTTTATTTTGAGAGGGAGTCTCTCTGTACTCCAGGCTGGCCTTAAACTCAATGTGGAGCCCAGGTTGGGCTTGAGTTTGTGGCAGTCGTCCTGCCTCAGCCTCCCAAGTGCTAGGATTACTGGTACGCAGCAGCACACTTGGCTCTTTTCCTTTTTATAAATATGTACTCGCAGAACATTAACTAAAATAATATGTAAAACAAGGTGGCAGACCATAGCACAATATCCTGTACTATTTGTCCTCTTTGCTCTCTCCAGTGTAAATATAATGTAGGCCATATATGTAATCTAAGATTTTAGGAATCACATTTTTACAAATATAAAAATAAAAGAAATGAAGTTAATAGTATATTTATTTTATTTGACCCAAAATACTCCAATATATAATCAAGATAAAATTATATATTTGTTCTTTTTTAAAATTATAGTCATAATTTAAGTCTTACAGCATATCTTAATTCTGAGTATATTTCTGAGCTAGTAGGTGCGTTCTTCAAGGTCCTATTTCAGACTGAGGAGCTGTGTGTGTGTGAGTGTTCATTTTCTTTGGTGAAGAATATAAGAAAAGATTTGCTCTTTTTTAAATAACTCTTTTAAAAATGAAAAAATGCCAGGGCTGTGGGAAGTTCAGGCAAGAGGATTGCGTTAGATGCCAGCCTGGGTAACTGACCTTGTCTCAAAAACAAAACTTAAAGGGGATGGGGATGCAGCTAAGTGCAGAGGCCTTGGCTTCTCTTCCTGGCACCGCCAAAAAAAAAGAGTTTATCACCAAAGCTGATTTAAAACAGTACTGTAGCCGGGGACTCAGCTCAGTGGTTCTGGTGCCTGCCTTGCAAGCACAAGGACCTGAGTTCGATCCCCCGTGCCAAAAAATAAATAAAACAGTACTGTGAAAGGTGAGGAAAATGTCAAGAAAATCCCCTGCTCTCCTAAAATAGTAATGTCCTTGACCATCTTGTAGATATACGAGGGGATCCCAGTACTGAATTGTTGGGGGGCTCTCCCCCTAGGAGGAAAAGCACTGCACAAGTAAGTGTTGGGATTTAACACCTCGTAAAGCAGATGCTCATGCATTTCTGGGTCAGTGGTCAACAGAGGGCCTGTGCCACAGACACTTAATTTTATCTAATCCTTTGTTAACCTTAAGAGTACTCATCTTTTCAAGATAAAACCTTTTTTTATTTAAAGCATCGTAATCTGCTATGAAAAGTGCACAGTAAGAAAAGGATATCAGTTGCGATATTTTAATTTCAGTAACTGTCAAATTTCAGAGAGTTGGAAACTCAGCTGTTGGAACAGTGCACGGTAGACACCAGCACTGCTAAAGCGCAGAGCCTTCCCTCGGTGATGGGTGAGTTCCTTCTGAGCTGTTCAGGAGCCATTTGTGCTCTTTCCGTGTCTCACTTGCATTTCAGACTTGCCCTGTTACATTGCTGCTCAGTGGTACAGCCCGTCAGCACCTGGTACTACCGTTGCCGCCTGCACCCCTCTCAGGACCAGGCTCCCCCTGTGAAGTCTACACTGAGCTCTCAATCACGAAATCCAGTTGTTCTGCTGGGTAGTCCTTTTCACAGCTGCGGGTGCTGTAGACCTCCTGTGCTCTCAAAATGCTCCTTTCCTTGGCTTTCTGGGGTCCCTTCTGTGGCGGTGCTATTTTTGAGGATTGCTTCTTGGTGTCCTCTGTTCCTGATGATCCCTGGGGTTCAGTTTTTGTTCCTCCTCCTTTCCAACTGGCTTTTTATAGATGATTGCACCTGCTCCCATGATTTCAACTACATCACTGTGCTGTTTATCAGATGTGCTGCTCGGCCTGGTCCTTCTGAATTATCTTCATGTGTGAGATAAACTGTTTGTCACCTGTTGACCTCCAGCTGCCTCACCTCCTACTCATTTCAGTATTGTTAGGTAAAGAGGATAATCCTGAGGAGAGATAATAAAGATAATCATCCTTAGATTCCATCTTAGAAAGCTAGACATTAGCAGATTCTTTCAGTTATTCCTCCAAAATCTTTTCCAGATTTCACTTTTTCACCCATCTTCCACATTAATGAATGTTGGAAAGCACACGTTTTGTTTTCACCTCCAGTGATGGCAGATCGTTCAGAGCTCTTTCTCTGACCCTGAGACTCGTGATCTCTTGCTGGATTTCACAGCGGCCTCTCAGACTGACTGATTCAGTCTCTTTCACAGTTGCCAGGAATAACTTTCCACAAATCCTTGTCACAGCGCTCTCCTGCTGGAGAATCTGTGTTAGCTCTTACAAGGTCAAATCCAAATTATGTGTTTCATACGCAAGTTTCTTCACAATCTCACTTTCTTCTTTTAGCCTTAACTCTTAACTTTTGCTTATTTTAGCAAGATTCTTAGAGGCAAGATTCTCCAGGCAGCAGAAGTCCTCCTTGCACGATCCTGTGCCTTCATTCTATTTTGTTTCTTACCTAGGATGTTTTTCTTTAGCTAGTTGGGGTTTGGAGTGAGATTGTTGTTTTGTTGTTATTTGTTTTTTGATTTGGTTTGGTTTGGTACTGGAGATCGAACTCGGGACCTTGCGCTTGTGAAATTCTTTTTTTTTTTTTTGAGACAGGGTCTTGTTGTGTAGTTCGGGCTGACCGTGAACTGTGTAACCCATGCTGCAGTCTTCCTGCCTCAGTCTCCCAAGTGCTGGGATCACAGCGCAGATGTGTGTCGACATACCTGGCTTCATGTGATTCTTTTTAAAAATATGTATTCAGTTACTAAATTAATGGCAGTTGTTTATTATCACAGGAAAAATAAGCAAACTTGGAATTTCTTTTCATAAAAGAAAAATAATTTATCTTTAAGCCCTAGATTTCTTCTGAGTACTTTGTTACAAAATGACAGCAAAAACCGGGCGTGGTGGCGCATGCCTTTAATCCCAGCACTCGGGAGGCTGAGCCAGGAGGATCGCTGTGAGTTCGAGACCAGCCAGATCAGTCTCAATTACATAGTGAGGCCCTGTCTCAAAAATACCAAAAAAAAAAAAAAAATCACAGCAAGCATCTTTAAGGGATAAAACATTTTCTTGGTCAATCCTATCTTATGTCAGTTATTCTATATTTTAAAGGCTTTATTTATGAAATTTGTCCATCTGTGACATCTTAAAGCATTTTTTGCAACCTGGCTTCAACTTCCATGCTTTCTCTTGGCTTTAAATGATAAAATGTATTTCCTAAAAGCAAAATTAACTTTTCTATTAGACTTTTTTAAATTGTAGTAGTTATGTGTTTTTTAATTTCTAGAATAAAAAATGGAAATGTGCATATAATTTACTAGGCTATTTTTAATTATTATTAAAGTTTTATAATTCTAAATAAAATCTGTTTTAGGTTCAGTTCCAGAAGGTATCTTAGAGGATATTAAAGGTAAACTAAGTTCCTGTTTTTGTCCCTTTTGTCCTTTAGTATTAGTTTGGAGGGCATATGTTTCTAACAGAGAGAAAAGATACTCACAATGTAATATCCTAAAAATATTGAATACATAGGCTATCAAATAATATAAAAGTTGATTGCCTTTTAGACTTATGAAAGTTCTAGCATTATTTATGAAGTGTTGTTAAGGCAGATTCTTAATTATGCATAGAGCGTACAAGGTTACTATGGCACTAATAGTTTATAAAGTAACAGTTAAATTGCTTAAGAAAATCACTAGTTTGATGTTGTATAATTTTTTTTAGTTCTAGTTTTTCTTTTTACTTTTCATAAGGTTAGTCATTTCAGTGACTGTTTAGACGTTCTGCATTTGGAACCAAAGTATACTGGATTCACTTTAATAACATATATTCCTTCTACTCTGATAGAATGGATTTTTATGATTGTGTTCAAATTGACTTCTGTGCTATTTTTATTCACTAAAGGAAAAGCATTTAAAATATAATGTATAGTCTTCAGTATGTGAGGGGTCATATAAAATTCATATTCTAGAATTATTAATAGAGAATCAGTAATGAGTTTTACAGTCAAGTGGGACTTGAAGCTAATTTGTCTGGTTGGGGCCTGAGGAACTCAGGGATCCGCTCAGCATCACATGGATCGGCAGTGTTAGGGTCCAGGTTGCAAAACATCTTGCTCTTTGTGAGAGTGCTTGCTTACGTGATGTAACCTGCGGCTTCTAGTTACTGTAAAACCGTTGTCCTTTGGAATCGGGCCTGTTGCATAGCACAGATACTGCAGAGGATGAATTTATCTCAAATGAACAGTCCCCCTTTTCCCCGACGTCACCTCTGCAAGGTAACAGCTATTTACCTGTATCTCTTCTCATGTGTCCTCTGGCTCGGGAAAAGTATTTCACTTTCCTATCAAGGAAACATCAGATTGGCAGAAATTTGAAAGGTTGATACCCAGCATTGGTGACATTGTGGGAAAATGAGTATTTATTGATATTAATAAGGACTTTAACCTAACTTTTTTGAAAATAATCTGATACTTATTAAAGTTAGAAGCACTTGCTCCATCTAGTTGAAGTTTGATAACCTTATAATAATAAATACCATGAAGCTAATAAAAAGGGAGCTAACTGTATTTATCCATTGTTCCATAATGTTAAGGGAATAACAAATGTGGCTAAATAATAATGTATACCAGGAACCCATTTCCGTTCAAAAAACAAATACATAACACACAGTGCTACAGAATTTTTCTCACAATATATGCGGCTGATGTGGCTTCTGAGCAGTTTGACCAACTCATCAGAGTCCATGCATTCAACTCAGTTTTGTCTCTTTAAAATGTTCTTTACCTATTTCTCAGAGCAGTTTAGTATAAGAGATACAACAGAAATAACTGGTATTCAGAATGCAAAAAGTAATACAGTAGAAGGGAAGTGGTAGGGTTGGAGTATGCCATGAGGGAGAAAATAATTACACCAAAAAACCCTAAGCTCTTAAGAAGATTGCACTTAGAGTAGTTTAGTTTTGTTTTCTGACACCAAAGGATCAGAGAGGGGAGGGGAGAAATCTGTTTGTTTGTTTTTTTGAAGCTACATTAATGATGCTGAAATTTATCTTTCTTGTTCTATTCTTTATGCAAGGATTATCCAACAGCAGAGTAGTTTTCTCAAAGGCGATTTTTCTGGAGGAAAAGGGTCATTTCAGAAAAGATGAACACTTGAACAGCATGTCCCCTTGAGCAGCAGCGTTTGAACTGAGGTGTAGCTTTACTCTACCTGGCTAACCAGAAGCCGTAACAGAGTTTCCTTTTGCTCTTTTAAGTGCGCACTTGCTTTGTAAGTGATCTGAAGCGTGGACTCAGCATCCAAGCAGCAAACTTTAATATGGATGGGAATGACGAAGTAAGTTAGAGATAAATGCATCTTCTTTTTCTATAGCTTGTAACGTGTAGAAACTTATGCTTATGATACTTGTGTTTCAGCGTCCCCCAGTGCCCCCAGATGTCAGCTATCCATTAGATGGGGAGAAGATTTTACATATCCTGGGATCAATCAGGTTGGCCTTTCTTTCTTTTTTTTTTTTTTTTGTACCAGGGATCGAACTCAGGACCTTGCGCTTGTGAGGCAGGCTGCGGAATCACTGAACTAAATCTCCATCCAGCCCATTAGCCCTTAATTTTTATGAGCAAAACAATAAACTAAATTCCTGGCTTTGGGAAATGTTTTATAAGTCTTTACTTCAGTATTGCTGATTCAACAGTTGAGTGTTTTTCAATTAGCTTTCTTTTTCAAAATTAATTTCATTCAGCTTTTTAAAACATGAAAAATATTTTTTCCTGATTTTCAGAGCAATTCCGAATTAGTTTAACTAATGACTCTAACGATTTTTTTGAGATAGAGCAGGAAGTGTGATACCTGAAAACAGAGGTTAGTAAACTAAGCCTCATCTGGAAAGAGCCAGCGGTGACTCTCAGACTTTTCGGTCCTTGATGCTCTCCAGTTGATGCCAGAGACAGTCTGTGTAAAGCTTTATTTACAAAAACAGACAGTCAGCTGGGTTTTACTTGGAGGCTATCCTTTGCTGACTACTGATTTAAAATTTTGTTTTGGAGGCTGGGCATGGTGGTGCACACCTGTAATCCCAGCACTCGGGAGGCTGAGGCAGGAGGATCGCTGTGAGTTCACCAGTCTGGGCTACATAATGAGTTCCAGGTCAGTCTCAACTACATAGTGAGGGCCAGGGATTTAGCTCAGTGGTTCTGCCGCCTGCCTCGCAAGCATGAGGACCCGAGTTCAATCCCCAGTACCAAAAGAAAAAAAATCAACTACATAGTGAGACCCTGTCTCCAAATAAATAAATAAATAAATAAAGATGGGGGCGGGTGGGGACTTAGCTCCATACTGGCACTGCCTGCCTTGCAAGCACAAGGTCCCAAGTTCGATCCCTGGTACCAAAATAAAAAGAAATAAAATTTTGTTTTGATAAAACAAAACTTTTTGTTAGAAAGAATGCATTAGTCTGAATATATTCACTCGTTACAATTGATTAATTTACCTTTTATTATTTATTTTATTTCCTTTGTAAATACAGTGTAATTTATTAAATACATATTTTTATTTATATCACTGCTTTCATAAAATTTTTATTATAACAGTTTCCTTGTAAAATATAAGATCAGAAGATGCACATAAGAAATTACCATGTTACATTTTATACATCCTTTTAGATTTTGAGGTAATAAAAAGGTTGAGCCATTGCGAGAATGAACATATTTTTTCAGAAGTTAAAGGTAATAGGATAAGGAACAAAAGTGAGATTATAAACCTTTTCGTTAGTTTTGTTTGGATCATTTTTTTCGATTATATTCATTAAAGAACTATTTTAAATTTTCTGCTAATTTAGTGGAGTAAAAGAAAATAAGTATTTAAGGAAATTCAACTAAAATAGAGCTTTGGGTTATTAAATAGTAAAAAAGACATTGCAAATACAGGGAGCTATTATATTTCACATTTCAATATTTAATTTACCACTGTCTGCTAATATTTTTTATCTACTAACAGGTCTAGTTCTGTTGAAACCTTCTGATCAGATGCAGTCTTCCAGTCACTGGTTGGCATGTTAGCTTTCTGTTACTGTAACCAGCACTGGAAATAATGAACTTTTATTCTCCAGGTCATAATCAGATGGGCTCACTGCTCTCAGGCCTCTGCTGGAGGTTGGAAAAGACAGTCATGGGGCGCACATGGCAGAGCACCTGTGTAGAGCACACAGCAAAGCAAAACTATTCACGTCAGAGCCAGGGAGCAAAGAGAGATGGGGTGTTGGGACCCCAAAATCCCCTTCAAGAGCGTATCCCCAGAGACCAAAGACCTGCCACTAAAGCCTCGCTTGTCGAGGCTCCACCATGTCCGGAAGTGCCACCGTGGGGAGCAAGCCTTTACACACGGACCTTTCGAGACCCGCTTAAGATCCAAATGTCAGCAGTTGGTAAATCAGAGAAAGGTTCAGAGGAAAGATTCTCAGTCACCTTCTCATCTCAGGGACAAAAACTGGACATCCACAACTTAAAGGAACAGGGGTTTCTTTGGGCTCACTTTTTTTTTTTAGAGGATTCAGCCCATGGCCGTCAGCTCCAGGGCAGGACGGGCGTGATGGAAGAGCTGGGTGGAGGGCAGCCAGGAAGTCCATAGGGAAGGTGGAACTGGGCAGGGAGATACACCCTTCCTCTTCCCAGCAGGCCCTCGGTGACGCCCCCAAGCAGGTATGCCTCCTAACAGCAAGTCAGCTACAGCACCCCTGTAATCCAGTCCCCACCCAGAAGCCTCACCTTGGAGCATGGGGACCTCTAGGAAGGCATTCTGGATCTAAACCATAACAAAGACCGTTTTTAAAAATCACATTCTAGGGCCAGGGCTCTGCAGGCACAGCACCTGCCTGGCAAGCGAGGAGTCCTGAGTTTAATCTCCAGTACCCCCCAAAAATGCTGAACATTGTATTTCAACTTAAAATTTGTTTATTCGTACTTTTATTTATAATTTTTATTTTATTTTATTTTATTTATTTAGTTTGGTACCAGGGATCGAACTCGGGTCCTTGCACTTGTGAGGCAGGTGGCAGAAACACTGAGCTAAATCCCCAGATAACTTTTATTTATAATTTTTAATTGGGGTGCAGAGTTTGAACCCAGGGCCTCACGCATGCTAATCATGTACTCTCCCACTGAGCTGTGCCCCATGTAACTGACATCTGCACACTTGTTTCCAGTTTGAGGATAAGTCTGCTTATAGTGTTGTGAGTTACATTTGCATAAACCGTAATTCAGTTTATGATTTGCAATTGTTTTTCACTATTGTTAAGTACAGAAAGATCTTAAAGGTACCATAAATTATTCTTGGTACAGAATCCTTCTAGTTATTTTTTCTAGACTTTTATAATTTTTTTAACCTGTATTAAAATTTAATTATAGTTTTCATAGGGAGAACTGCTTGTTTTCTACTTTATTCATTTGTTAAGTAACAATTTTAAGTTATATATTTCATATATATGTCAAATCACCTGACAAAAGATTTATGAAAAGAAAAGTGGCTCTTGGGCCGGGGATTTAGCTCAGCGGTTCGGTGGCCTGCCTTGCAAGCGCAAGGACCAGAGTTCGATTCCCGGTACCAAAAAGAAAAAGGAAAAGTGGCTCTTGGGCCGGGGATTTAGCTCAGCGGTTCGGTGGCCTGCCTTGCAAGCGCAAGGACCAGAGTTCGATTCCCGGTACCAAAAAGAAAAAGGAAAAGTGGCTCTTGGAAGCGTGCGGCTGCTGGTGGAGGTGGCAAGGTGGCTTCACTGGTCACCCATTGTGGGTACCGTAGGCCTCACTACGGTGGGAAATGGAGAGATCAGCAGTAACCTGAATGTCCTGAAGAGAATTTTAGGTATTTTGAAAAAGATTTTTAAAAGCTTTAAGATGATATGTGTAATATGATCCCAGTTTTGTAAAACAGCTTATATATGTTTCATATTGGACTGGTCGGGATTTTGCTTGGCCATAGTTACAACACAGACAGTAACTTCAGCAAGCTAGAAAGTGTCTCTTATATGAGTTTAGAGGTAGTCTAGGGATGGTCTGATAGGCCCCTTCAGAGACTAAATGTCCTTACACCAGTTTTTGTGGAACCAGGGATCGAACTCAGGCCCTTGCGCTTGTGAAGCAGGCGGCAGAACCACTGAGCCAAATTCCCAGTCCACTAGGATGTATTCTTGATCCTCAAGGTCCAGGTAGCTGCTGCAGTTACAGCTACTCTATCTGGGTTTCAAACATCAGTCCTAAAGAGAGAATGTAAAAAGTGCTTTCTTGGGGCTGGGGACTTAGCTCAGTGGCCCTGCACCTGCCTCACAGGCACAAGGTCCTGAGTTTGATTTCCAGTATGAGGGGAGAGGAAAAAAGTGGGTTTTTTTCTCTTTTGGTACCGGGGATCAAACTCAGGACTTTGTGCTTGTGAGGCAGGTGCAGGGCCACTGAGCTAAATCCCCGGACCCATAGGTGCTTTCTTCTTCCAGTAAATGTTGGCAGTCTCACATATCACTGGTCATCTAATTCCTGGTACTCATTCCTGGTGTTTAACAGCATTGAACTGCAAGAAGTCTAGTAATTACAGCCTCCCTGGTGTTCTAACTGGTTGGGGTAAGGAATATAATATATCTAGCTCAAAGATTATGTTCCAGCTTTTTAAATTTTCAAATAAGTATTGATTAGTTACCCAAAAAAAAACAATACAGAGAGGTCCTGTGTACCCTTTTAGTTTATCCTGTGATTATACTTTATATAGCTATAATATAACTAGTCAGTTGGTATTGGTATAAATTGTATTACAGTTCCTTGTAATTGTATTTTGTATAGATTTCTGTAATCTGCACTACAACAGTGAAGATGTAGAACTCTTGCCAGACCCAGAAAGAAAAAGATACTGCTTGCTCTCGCTGTGGAATCTAAAATTCAGATATCCAGGAGCAGAGCAGAGCAGCAGCTGCCAGGGTGAGAGGGAGAAGAGCGGATTTGAGGGTGGTGAATGAGAAGTCTGGAGCTCTAATTCCTAGCCTAAGGTCTAGAGTTAAGATGATTGGATTAAGTACCGAAAATTTGCAGAGAGTAAATTTCAGCTGCTCTTAGCACAGATAAAAAGGTGACTGTGGAACATGATGGTTAATTTACTTGCCTGTTGTAATCATTTTACTGTGTATGTGTCCACCGGAACATGCTATACACCTTAAATATGGGCAATAAAGAAGAACATTCTTCTTTTTCTTTTTATTGAGTTTATTGGTACATTCTAGGTATGCAGTACAGTTACAGTTCATTACTGGGAAAAAGAAATATTCTATTTCCCCAGAGATCCTTTTCATGCTACCCAGAAGTAAAGTTCTTTTAATTTTAGAAGAGGAAAATGAATCTCTTTCTAGACAGGTAGAACCTTTGTCATATATTATTTCTAAAAAAGAAATATGGAGAGTTTTGTTATTTGTTTTAAATCCTTTTATGTTGGCTATAGGCTCATTGGTTCTTGCTTCCACAGAGTACTGTGTGTGATCTGTACTAGGTTTGAGCAGGCATTATACATGATAATAGTAGAGGCTGTTACTTGGGGACACCTCCCAGGTCCCGAACCCTCCTCTGACTCACTGAATCCTCCCTCGGCCCTGAAGGGCGGCTGCTGTGATTCTTCCCAGGAATGAGTGAGAACATCTCGTATGTTAGTAGTGATTCTGTGGTACTTAACAATACTGTGTCAGTATAACTAATGCTTACTCTGTATCACACACGATGTCAACAGTGCTCTCTTTCTCAATCTTACTAGAGACTCAGTTGTAGAAATTCTTTTTGAACAAGATAATGAAGAGAAATCAGTTGCCACGTTAATACTGGATTCCCTTCTGCAGGTATTTTATTTTGTGAAAAGTTTCACTTTGAAAGAAAAATTTGAAATGTTTTTTCAATATTTTCCTTGTGTATTATTTTTTCGTGTTTGTTTTGTTTTGTTTTGGGTACTGGGGATTGAACTCAGGACCTGATACTGACAAGGCAGGCGCAGCATCACTGAGCTAAATCCCCAGCCCCTCCCTGTGTATTAGTTCTAAGGTTTCATTAAAAATATGCAAAGAATTTTCTTTTTTATTTGAAATCTCTTATCTCACTACTCTGCTTGTTAAATTTACTCTTAGTTCCTTTTTTTTCTTTTTTGGTACCGGGGATCGAACTCGGGTCTTTGTGCTTGTGAGGCAGGCAGCGGAACCACTTAGCTAAATCCCCGGCCCTTAGTTCCTTTTTTGATATTTTGTTTTGTTTTGGTTTTTGAGACAGGGTCTCACTATACAGTCTAGGCTGGCCTGAACTCACTGTGTAGACAGACTGGCTTCAAACTCATGGCAACCCTCCCGCCTCGGCCTGGTATTACAGACGTGTACCACCGTGCCCTTTTTAAGCTCTTTTGTTAAGTTTTTAGTTAATGCGTTTTACTTTTGCACTGAGATACAGTACCCACATTTCCTACTCTTGAGTAAGGATCTCCATGGACAAATGCATGTTTTTCGGAACAGGGTTATCAGATTTTTATTTTGTACTGAAGGTCGGGTTAGTATTGAATTTTAAACTACACAGGGCCAAACCAGATACAATGATGTGTGCCTGTATCCCAGCTACTCTAGATGGTAGCAGGAAGGCCCCTTGAGCCGAGGAGTTTGAGGCCAGCCTAGGTAACGTAGTGAGGCACCGTGTGAAAACGAGAACATTCTACAGGACATATGGTAACCTGTCCCTGTTGACTGATGACTGTATCACTGGATAGCTCTATAGGAAGCACCGTCATCTTGGCAGATCCTGCCTACCTCTAGGGCTCCACTCAGTAAAGGATGTTACCCTTCCTAAGTCTTTGATTAGAGACATAATTCATTTCCCTACTCACATCTGGCTATGGGTATAATAGTGCAAAAAACTACGATTCCACATACATCCCTTGCTGATAGTTACTTTTTTTTGTGCTCTTTGCCTAACTCAAGTCACTGCTTTGAAAATAACTCCATTGATATATTATTGCCATGTGCACTGGGGGATTTAAGATTCTTCACTATCAGATTTTATTAGGTTTTTCTAAGCATTTTAAAACCTCACACCTGTAAAGTTCTTTCCTGTGTGTCAGTCATCCTGTGGCGGGTGTATCAGAGAAGGTCATTCTCTAACACAAGTGGGGATCTGCTTGACCCATGTGTGGTACACACTTCTGTAGATTTCTTCAGTAGAACTGTTTGTCCAAATAAGGATAAATTCTTTTTGTTGTTGTTTTTCCCTTTTTTAAAACAGTGCCCAATAGACACCAGGAAACAGCTTGCGGAGAACTTGGTGGTCATAGGTGGTACCTCTATGTTGCCAGGATTTCTTCACAGGTTGCTTGCAGAAATAAGATATTTGGTAGAAAAACCAAAATACCAAAAAGCACTTGGTACAAAGACATTCCGGATTCATACTCCACCTGCAAAGGCTAATTGTGTGGCCTGGTTGGGAGGTAAGAAATTAGCTTTTAAATACAAAGAGTGTATTTATTGCTTCTGGGTGCCATTACTAATGGCCATATTAAAATGCAGAATTCAAAAAAATTTAAAAAAATAAAATGCGGGAATCAGCCAGGCATGGTGGTGCACATCTGTAATCCCAGCACACAAGAGGCTGAGGCAGGAGGATCTCAATAAGTTCAGGACCAGCTTGAACTACAAAGTGAGACCCTATCTCAAAAAAAAAAAAAGTTACTAATTTTCTTTGAACATTGACTTTTCTTTAAATCTTATCTTTAGAATTATATCATTATTTCCTTTGGCATTTGCACTATGATTTTAAGTAAACTTAAAGTCATTCCTCAGAATAGTGAAAGCTGTGAATTTATTTTTGTGAAGCTATCGTTGCTCAAAACATTTGTTTTAATTCCTACCAGAGCTGAAGAGTGAAAATTGTTTTGTTTGCTTCCTTGTTTTGCAGTACTGGGGATTGGATCCAACTGAACTACATTCCCAGCCCATTTTATAATTTTTTATTTTGAGACAGACTTTCTCTAAGTTGCCCAGATTAGGCTCAAACTTGGGATCCTCCTGCCTCAACTGCCAGGGTGCTTGGGATTGCAGGATGATCTCTTTATTTTTAACTCTGTTTTGTGGCTGAGTACTCCGAATGCTCTAAGTAATGATGGTTTTACTGAAGCAGGTAACCTAGTAAGTAACTACATTGAAGAGAAAACATCACAACTATAATTGCGTAGACATTTATTACAATATGTGTTTCATTATGCAGTTAGAGCTAGTAGGTATCAGAGGCACATATACAGAGGGTTAAAGCAGATTACTGAAATTTTAAAATAGTGGACGCTGGGGATGGTGCACGCCTGTAATCGCAGCACTGGGGAGGCAGAGGCAGGAGGATCACCTCAAGTCCAAGACAAATAGCTAAAATAATTTAAGTTCTTTTCATAAAGACTGCCTTGTCCATCTTTCTAAGGTCTTTAATATAAAATCTTAGGGCTTCAGAATGGTGCTTATCAGTTTTATGTGCCATTTTGTTTATTGATGTAATCACAGAGTTGTGACAAAATGAAATATCTAATTGATTGTATTTGCACAAAGTTTCCGACAGCGGTGGTACTTGGTACCACATTCACGCTAATCTGTGAGGGGCTGTGCTAGCTTATCCTCCTACCACCACCACTGGGGAACAGACTCAGGACCTTGTGCTTGTGAGGCAGGCCAGGTGCCACTGAGCTCAATCCCAGCCCTTACCCCATTATTGAAAATCAGCTTAACTGCGGTGAATTTGAAGATTGGGAATCTGCTGAGCTTTGCAAACACAGCAGTCTTCATATGATGGATGTGTGTATTTAAAGTTTTCGGGTAAAGTCCTCATTTTAACTGTAAAATATGTTTACCACACAGGGGCTATTTTTGGAGCACTGCAAGATATACTTGGGAGCCGTTCCGTGTCAAAGGAATATTATAACCAGACAGGCCGGATCCCTGACTGGTGCTCCCTCAATAATCCACCTTTGGAAATGATGTTTGACGTTGGAAAAGCTCAGCCGCCTCTGATGAAGAGAGCGTTTTCCACTGAGAAATAGAAGTTTGGTTAAATACAACTTTATTTCACTTCAGATACTTGCAAGGAGACTACACAGTGCGTAGGGTGCTTTACTGTAGGTAACTACAGTGGACGCCGAAGCTTCTCTGTTTATTCTTTGCATTAGAGTTTAATTCATGTGACCTTGCCTGTCTTGTACTGCGGTCTGTTGTATTTACAGCCGTGAAGTAAAGCTAGCAGTGTAGTTTTGGATGTTTGTTACGTAGTTGAGATTTCACAAAGAACAATAAGATGCTGAGATGCTTCTCCACCTTCCCACAGTGTGTCCTGGGCCTGAGATGCCGAGTGTGACTATCTTCTGCAGTGGTTACATTTAATGAGTCAGTGACATTAACCATGATAAATTATTTCAGGTACTGGCATGGACCCATTTTAACCCTTTCTTTGGTACTTCTGTACCCACAGCTATGTCAGTGCTGCTTTTCTAGAAACGCGCTCCATCCTGTGGACTGACTGTCTGGTAACCTGGCATGGACCCATTTTAACCTTTCTTTGGTACTTCTGTATCCACAGCTATGTCAGTGCTGCTTTTCTAGAAACGCGCTCCATCCTGTGGACTGACTGTCTGGTAGCAGGGCCAAGCATTTGTTAGGCGAAGTATGGAAATCCTCGCAGTCTCTCTTGTGAGCATCTCTGTTTCTAAGAGACTTCTGCGAAGTTACAAGTGCTTTATAAACACGCGTCCTCAATGGCAGTGTCCTTTCTGCTTTTGTGCTTTATCTCTCCTCAAGGCGAGGGGTCTTCAAAAAATGTCCACATTCATTGTTTAACTTTTATTTCATCTTATGTTGTTTCGTTTTGGTTTTTTGAGGCAGGGTTTTGCTTGCTGCAGTCCTGCCTCAGCCTCCTGAGTGCTGGGATTACAGGCATGGCCACCACACCTGGCTTTCATCATTTGTTTTTATTTATTTATTTTGTTTGTTTGTTTTTGGTACTGGGGATCGAACTCGGGACTCTGCTCCCCAAGAGGCGCAGCACCACTGAGCTGAGTCCCTGGCTCCATCATTTATTTTTAATGGACTGCTTCTTGTTGAAATGTTGCTGTGGTGTCCAGGCACCTGTGAGGACAGGAATTACGTTTGTTAGTGTGTTCTATGCCAGAGGACGGAGTAGGAGTTGGCACGCGTTCTGATGTCTCTATCCCAAAGTACTCTCTTAGTTTAATGCCTCGATTTTGCTTTTCTGAATCCTTCCCATACCCTTACCTATGACTATTAACACTGGAAGAAAAGATGGTTTCTTTGGTCTAAAAATCAGGATGGGTTCATTTCTAGAACTCGTGTGTGTGTGTGTGTGTGTAAAAATACTTCTATACTGAGTGTGGTGGCACATTCCTGTAATCCCAGTTACTCTAAGAGGCCAAGGAAGGAAGATCACATATTCAAGCCCAGTCCAGGCAATTTGGTAATTTAGCAAGATCCTGTCTCAAAAACAGGTGTGGGGAGGTTAGTGCAAAGGCCCTTGAGTTCAATCCCCGTACCACCAAAAGCCAACCAAATAGCAACTTTTAGCAGCCTGGTACAGTGCCACACACTGGTGACCCCAGCATTTTAGGAGGCAACCTAGCAAGACCCTGTCTAAAAAAAATGTAGCTCAGCTGGAGAACATCCCTGAATTTGATCCCCACTAAAAAACAAAACAACAACAACAAAAAACTTCAAAAAAATATCTAGCTGGGTAGGGGGGTGTTCAGCAGTTCCACTGCCTGCCTCTCGGAGGACAGGGCCTGAATTCGATCCCCAATGCCCCCAAAAAATTCTAGCTGTGGGCTGGGGATGTAGCTCAGTGGCACTGTGCCTGCTTGGCAAGCACAAGGTCCTGAGTTTGGTTCCCAGAACCAAAAAAAAAAAAAAAATCTAGCTCTGTTTTGTCACTTGATGCCACTTCCATAGCCCAAGACTAAAATTCATTTGATATCTACTGAATGCCATGTGCCTAGTATAGCTTTTGATACTAAAACTGCTACAGCAGTAAGACCTTTGTCCTGTGGCATTTTGCAAGCCAGTAGAAGTGGATGCGTAAACCAGTGGGATACAAAAGTGTGGTGAGACCCCGAAAAGGTACCAGTTGCTTGTTGTTATGGAGTTAATTCTGACCAGGAGGTAGGTGAAGGAAGAAAACTTAATAAAAAGAGACTTTTCACCTAGCTCCCACAGGATGAGTAGGATTTCTGTAGTTGGCATTTATTCCAGGCTATGTGAATTGAACTTGGTTTGGTTTGGTTTGGTTTTGGTTTTTTGTTTTGTTTTTGTTTTTTTGAGACAGGGTCTTGCTATGTAGCCCAGGCTGGCGTCAAACTTGCGGTGATTCTCCTGCCTCAGCCTCCTGAGTGCTGGGATTACAGGTGTGTGCCACCATGCCTGGCAATATATGAACTGAATTTTCTACAAAATGTCTTAAATTGGGGTGATCTGACATTACTGAAACTGACGGTAGCATCAAATGAGACCTCACTATACTTTAAGGAGCAGATTGTGAAGAATTTGAGAACCATAGTAAGCCAGTAAATAACACTGAAAGTTCAAGTTAGCCAGCCACTTTCCTCAGTGAATTTTCCTGAAGGTGAGACTCCTCTGTCCTCTAGTCCTACCACCATTCCACTGCACCACTTCTCCCAGACTAGTGATCATTTTCCAGGCACGTTATCCATAACGTGTGGGAAACCAGGTGTGAGACCAAAGCCCAGGTTGAACTTTGCTTGGGATTGGGGTGGCCGATAGCAAGCCATACCCCACCTCCGAGGCTCTTCAGTAACCTGCCAGTGTCAACCAGTTTGAAGGAGAGAAGCAGCTATGGTTGAAATCTGATTAAAAGAAAATACACATTCAGGTATAGCCTATGAATCACGAGTACCTGATAAACTTTCCCTGAGTCCCGGATCACATGCTTGCTTGCTTTGTGTGACTCTAATAAAAGCGAGGAGCATCATCCATTCGGGGCTCTTTGCCGACTAGAGGCAAGAGTCCCCTGGCCTCCTTTTCCAAGCAGGTGCAGATCCAAATTCAGGTGAGGTCAATTAAAGTGGGCCCTAATCTAATATGGCTGATGTCCTGAGTCAGGAAACACCATTCGAGAGAGGTGCGTGGAGAACCCCACGATGACCAAGACACAGACGAGTCACTCAGCTGAGATGCTTGGACTGCGAAAGGACTGCATAGGACACCTGAAGCTAAGGGAAAGATACAGAATGAGTCCGTCAAAGGGATGTTTGTTTCATGACAGGGTCTTGGTAGGTAGTCTAGGCTGGCCTTGAACTCATAGTTCTCCTGCCTCAGCCTCCTGAGCAAAAGAGATTTTTGAGACTGTGTCCCTCCCAACACCATAATTTCAAGTTTCTAGCCTCCAGCACCATGCAACAATACTTAAGTTTATGCTATTTCGTTATGGCAGTCTGATTCTGAATACACGTTGAAGGATTTGGTGTCGACATTTCAGCTGTCTAATACTGTGTAACAGACTTTTCTAAGAACTAGTGGGTAAACAACAAGGATTTTACTTAAAATTCTGTGCTCAGGAATTGAGACAAGCAAGGCTCAGCTGAGCAGTTCTATTCCGTGGCTTCAACTGGGGAGGATCACCTGGCTGTATTCTGTTGGTGTGCCAGAAATGGAGGGTAAGAGAACTTGCATACTATTCTGGGGTCTCAGTACTTTTTCCACAGCCTCTCTCCACTCCACCTGGCCTCTGTCCACGTGGCTAGCCTAAGCTTCCTCAGAGTTTGGTGGTCTCAAGGTACTCAGACCTCTTAGCACCTTGCACCAAGCCCCACAGTGTAAGTAATCCTCAATACTCCATTTACATTATGCTTTCTAATATCCCATTGGCTAAAACTAGTCACATGGTCAGGCTAGCGTGGGGGCCGTACCAAGGGCCTGATTTATCCAAGAGTACTTTGATAATGGGGTTGGAAGGAAAAAGAGGAATCAATGATTCCAAATTTTTGGTCTAATTATGTACAAAGATCGTGTTACCATTACATAAAGAAAATGGAAAATAGCTAACAGAGAAACAAGTTTTTGGACAAATATCAAGAGTTACATTTTGTACATATTAAGTTTGGAATAGCTACCAGACATCCAAATGGATGTTTAAGTTTGGAGTAGGGGTGTCAGGTAGAGGAAATCAAGAGCACGTTAGTGTGGTAGAAGCCGGGGGAGAGGTTAACTGACAGTAACACGTTTCTTATAGGACAATAGGTTAGGCCTGGCAATTAACACTCAGATTTGGTAAAGAAAAGATGATTAGAGCCGTTTTCATGAATATCAGCCAACCAGTGGGGCTGGGGAGAGGCTGGAAGACCTGGCTGGAGTGGTAGGAAAGGGAACAAGTAGCCCTGACATCCAGAAGCCATTGGACACAGCCAACACTCGGCATCCTTAGGCTGAGAGGATGCTTTCAACTACATTCTGTTTCACTCCCCTTTCTCACAAGATGTCTGCTGCAGAAAAGTGGGTCATCAAAAAACAACAACAACAAAAAACAAAATGAAAATGTCGGGCGTGGTGGCACACGCCTCTAATCCCAGCACTTGGGAGACTGAGGCAGGAGGATCGCTGTGAGTTTGAGACTAACCTGGGCTACATAGGTCAGTCTGAACTACCTAGTGAGAGACCCTGTCTCAAAAAACGAAGAAAGAAGAAAAGTGGGTCGCTGGACAACCGAAAACACTAAGAATCCTTCCCTTGCTCGTGCTAACTGCCTGCTTAGCCATTTCAGCTTGGTCCCTCTTGTAGTTTGCCCTTCATGTGGGTGGAACTGGTCAAGATCATGCAACTGCCTTGGTTTTCAAAGAGCAACCAGTCCAGAACAAGGACTCACTTCCTTAAATCCTCCTCTCCAAATCCCCAACCAAAGCCCAAATCCTGCTGGGCCTGGTGGCGAACACCTGTCATCGCAGCACTCGAGAGGCTGAGGCAGGAGGATCACTGTGAGTTTAGGACCAGCCTGGGCTACATAGTGAGTTCCAGGTCAGTCTCAACTACATAGTGAGACCCTGTCTCAAAAAAACAAA